CCACAAAATTCCAATTAGTGACTATCTTTAGACAATTAAACCGTCTATTTCTAATGTTCCAAGGCATCAAAAAAGGGGGTCTTAAACGCCTTAACCACCATAGTTGAACCAGATTCCAACCAAAGGTTATGCCAATTAAACCGTCTATTTCTAATGTTCCAAGGCACCAGAGAGTTCGACAATAAGTGAATTGGACAAACCTAAACCAATAGCAAAAGCACCCATAAAATTCCCATCACTGTTTCTCGCAATTCCACCACAAGCCGAAATTCCAGAAGCAGAAGCTCCATCACAGTTTATTCTAATCCAGTTTCTTGGGGGGGGGGGGGGGGGGGGGGGGGGTCCAAATGACCTCAATAAGTTTCGGGGATTTAGGAGGAAGAATGGTAACCCAAAATATTTTGAGGATCTCAAACTCATACATATCCAAAAAAGTGGTTGCTGCAGAACTGTCACCAAAGGCAACAACCACAAAAATTTAAGAGATGAAAGAATTAAAGTGAAATTTATCATTGTTAAATATAACCTTATTGCAGACCGACCAAATGTCGTTGAGAACAAAAATGACAGCAGCACAAACAATAGTCTTATACTACTCTGTATCGCTCATATTAAGCATATTTTCAACCCCCAATTACCCAGGAATTGGTTCCTGACACTTCAACTGAATGCCACCAACCCAACGCCAAAGTTGTGAACTAAGCTTGCAGTAAAAAATAAGTGTTGAGAAGTTTCTTTGGCATCTTTGCAAAGGTCACAACGAGAGGGGGAAGTAATGAGTCGGCGCTTCTAATGATCTTCCTTTGTTACCTTATTATGGAGAAGCTTCCAAACAAAACATGACTTTGATGGATGAATTGATTTAGACCAAATTCATCTCCACCAATTTTTCAGAATACCTGTCGATCTCTTATAGTCATAGGCCCTTTTAGAAGATAAACCCCCATTTGGAGAGTGCAGCCACACTTTTGAGTTTGATCGAAGATCATAAGGAACATGCCAATAGCGAATCCTTTTTTGAATATAAAGGGGAATAAAAGTAAGAGACTTGGATAAATCCCACCTACCATTAACCAGAATGTTGTTGACCCTTTGATCCAAAATTGAAGACGAGTTCGCCAAATCAACATGGAGTGGCAATCCTTACCAACTATCAAACAAGAGACTAATCGATTCACCATTTCCCAAACACCAAGAAGATTTTTTCCTCAATAGTAGTTGTTCATAGTAATTTCTGGTAAACAACCGCTAGTCTTCCAAACTATCGAATAAACTTAATTACTGTTATTCAATTTCTCTGGTAACTTGCAGGATCGACTAGATTGATCCTATGGGACATAGT